GACAAAAGCAAACCCGCGACCTACCTTAAGCTCCGCCCATTCTGTGACGTAAGCGGTCCAACATCTCTCCGAGCGGTCCAACATCTCACTCAGCGGTCCAACATCGATTTTTTATGCCCGCTCATCAAAACATTAGAAATATTACACTTTTTTCGCATAGATTTGTATAGGAACAAATTTTTAAATGTATAACAAAATTTGATGATCTCACTTTTGATCCTAATTTCACTTTTTACTTCGGAATTACTAACTTGTAATGGTGAAAAAGTGAGATTGAGATCAAGAGTGGGATCATCAAATTTTTATGGCCCCCGAGCCTGGATTTTAAAAATATACGACGCTTTATTTTCTGTTTTATACATTCATAGTTGTATGTCAAATATTCTTTTGTTAGTATTTCTGTATTTGTATTACTGAGTATCGCCAAATCCCCATAATCCGCCAGTACCCTAAATCCATCCCTTTCCGGAAACTCCGCGCAGTTTGTAAATGAGTGCGAATGTGACGTAATTTATGCATGCAGAAAAAAATCTACAATCAAATTCAAAGCTACTTTAATAGTTATAAGTTACAAAATACGTCATAACAAATAAAATTTACACTAATTTAATTATTGGTATCATATTTTATGTGAAATCAGTAAGCACCTTTCCCTCTATGTGCCATTTGATCGGAACTCCTGACAAGTGCGTCAACATGCTCCTTTTCCCCTGTCAGCCATTTCTTTTTTATGAATTTCTCTTACAAAGATTCAACATGACACACCATGATGAGTACTATATTATTTCATTTATTTATTTTGCATACAATTGTCCGCATGTACTATGTGTTGTGATAGTTTTAGCGCAATATTTTTACATATAAAATGCGTTATTTGTGTTTGCCTTTCTAAAAATGCAATTTAATATTATTTGGAATCTTAAAAACAATTTCCCATGTATGAAATTCAAGAAAATTGTATAAAAAATTAACTACGGGAATTTTTTATAATATGTTTTAGAGGACCCTGATGCCTGAGTTAGGGGACACAATAACACTGGCAGGATACACGTTCTATTTAGTGATTTTATATTAGTCCAGTAACTGTACTTTTCCGTTTATATCATAAAAATAATGTTCAACTTTATTAATGTGTAACAAGAAGCAAATCAAAATATAATTTGAAGATAAATGCGAGGTAATTTCCGCTTATGGTGAGGGATACTTAAGGATAACTTGTTCAGTTTTTATATATCTAATAAGTTAAAAAATGCATTTGTCGTGTAGCTCACTTTCTTCTTGCCAATGATTTTCATTGAGATTCTCCTAGTTAACTTTTTGTATATGCCAGTTACTTGGTGGCGAATTTCACATTTTACTGGAAGACGTCACCTCGATTCAGTACTTTCAGTACTTTGATTTTTAATTATTTTCAAGACCTGCTGGAATATTTGTGTTTATTTTGCTTTGAAGACAGTCTGAAAATGATCACTATTTCAGTTTTGAATATCTTGTCAAGTGCTTCCCTTGCAAGGATGCTTTTATAATATTTTGATAGTACTTTTTTGAAATTCTACATTGTGTTACCGGCCGATTTGATGCTTTGCTTTGTCCGATTTTTCATTGTTTTATTTGATCTTTACTTGTGGCATCAGTATATCCTTTTTTTCAAACTTTCAGCAATTTATGTATTCAAACATTTGATTTTCATGAACAAGAATAGCAGAAGATTCAAATGGAAGATAGATTTAATTATGATGTGTTGCTTGTTTTTTTAGAGATGAATGATAATGTTAATTTTAACAGGTAAATAAATGACATCCAAACAATTTCATTTGGTTATTTAATAAATACATAGAATAAAATTGGACTTGTATATCAATCCAATGGCGGTTGGTCTGAGCGTTTTCCCAAATTTTGTTTCAAATACACATGTAAATGAAAATAAGACCGTTTCTATACTAAAGTATAATTTTTGGTATATTATTTAGTTCGTTAGCTTTATGCATTGTTAGCTTCAGGTATTGTGCATGCTGGTGCTAAATTGGAAACTGGTGTGGTAAAAAGGCTGCTTCCAAATTTTTATTTCTGATTTTATTGTCAGTTTTATATATTTTTGTAAGGCTTGATGGATGTCAGGATTTGTTATCATGCTAATTGCTTGTGTAATTGTTTGTGGATTATATCCTTTAAATTTTCAGAGAGTTGAAGATCTGAACTTATAATACAATGTATGTTTTGGTCAAGTAACAGATTCAACTGAAAATTCAAGTTTGTAACAAGATTCAGAATATATAAATAAAATCTAAAGAAGTTGCATACAAAGAAAGTTCCGAATACAATAACTTGAATGTTTTTGTTCTTGTCCCCTGTCAGTAGATCATTGTTACTTGATATACATTTCGTATTTGTGACTAATGGTCCAACAAGTTAGGTTTGGGGAGCTTTCTCTGAGATTCTGAATATACCTTTTTCTCTTTAAGATGCTTGAACTTCTTCTGAAGAAAGGGCATCTATTCTTTTAACTTTAACCAAAAAAAGTATACATCCTGACATAATGTATGAATATTAATAGTTCTCTCATATGATACATATGTAGATATAAAATCGTTCGGTAAATTTATTTATTATACTCTCATAGTAAATACTAAAATCTGATTGGTTTAGACGCAGTTAACAATCCGTTCGATTACCCTGAGTCTTAGCAACACACGTGACAACGGGTAACACAACGGTAATGCCACATGCGTGGAAGTTATACGCGTACGGTTCACCGTAGAATTCTCAAAACGTTAGTTGCGCCTTTGAAAGAACCGGAATTAACTTGACGTCAATAAAAGCTTGCGTCCGATATAGCTTACTTGAAAACAACAAACGATACATGCTTGCAAATGTAGGAAACATTCTTGCGAGCCAGAAATAACGAAACTTTGTATGATAAATGACTCGAATTCGAGTATCAAACAAACAATAAGGAGATTAGTGAACCGGTGAGTGTGAAAGCTTTCTATACATGAACGTAAAGACGATCGACGGTTTTTTTTTGCTGACGTCCTAAATCAGTAAGACATTCAGTATAATAAAATAAATGGTGCCAGTTTTGTAGGGTAACATTTGAAATTGACACCCCTCGGAAAACCATTGTCAACCTCCCCTGACTTGTCGGATTACAATGGTTTTCCTTGGGGTGTCAATTTCAAATGTTAGCCTCCAGAATAGGCACAATTTATATAATGGAGAATATTATAAATACCGAGGTATCCCCCTAAGCAATTACACACTATAGCAAAGATCACACTTAACTAGAAAAACAACTGTCCGAAGTGGTCTTCTCATGAAGACAGTCCTAAACCTGTCTAAATGTTCTTGTACTTTTGGGATGAATACAAAATGCATGAATATGGCTTTTTTGATGTGGATATCCAAAGAAGAAAGGGCTCTAAGAGCAAAAATCCGCCTCAAGTTAGAAATAATTGAAACATTCTGAAATAATACCTTAAGGTTTGTAAATGATTAAACAATTTATATCATAGCGTTATCTTTTCTAGTTTTCTTCCTTTTGTCGTTTAAATATGGCATTGTTTTCTGAATAAATTTTATGACGTCGACGTTATTATACCTATAACGTCATGGGTTGACGTTACCATAAATCTGGAGGTCGCACATTTAGCATTAATTTAAATAGGGTTTTTATTAAAATTTATTTTAAAGTAGCAATTAGAATCGTAAAATATAATTTTTACGAAAATTAACACACGTACATAAACGGAATAGAATCGATCCAACAGGACTCTAATTTTAAAAATTGGGAAACATTACTGTGAGTTTTCAAGACGTTTTGCAAGTGCAATACTTGCTTTGTTTTTCTAAAAATGAGAAATGTTTTTTTTTACAATTAGGAGATCATTTACTTCAAAATGGATGTAATTTATTGTACAAAATTATTCTTCATCATTCTCATTTTCACCCTCGCTTTCACCTACGGTCAGTGGCTCTGGAATATCCTGTGCATCAAGTAGGTATTTGCTCCAATCTCGAACGCTCTCAAAAGTACTCTCACTGTAACGTCCGATCCCAAGATACCATATAAGGGAAGTGACATGACAACAGGTCCCAACAACCCGGGTACCTACTTTACATTGACAGTACCAGCTAACAACTTGAACTTCACTATACTGAACCCAAACTTTGTAGCCTTTCGACGACACATGCCTTGACTGTATTTTGGCGCAAAGTAGGTCTGGCTCGTGGTTGCATACCAGAACGTCAAAACTTCCGTCACTGTCCAAGTGCTCTCTTGTGTAGCAGGGTGCAAGCTTTAACTGGTACACACCAACTGTTAGATTTCGAATATCCTCTTCACTTAATTTCGGAAAGTCAGGCACAGAAGAGGCAGTGATTTTTTCCCATTTGCATGATCGTTTGTCTAGACCCTCAGACTTGATTCTCTCATGAAGGACATTTTGCTGTTTGGAGAGATATAACATTTTATATCCTAGTTGATCTTCCTTTTCAGAGTCCTTTGTGTTAATTTCTGGCCAGTACTTATTCATCAAGGCACAAACGATTTTTATGTAATCAGCAATATATGGTATCTGACTGTTTGGAAGAACCCGGTCAAGATATTTCCATTGTTTTATGCGGCCATTCACAGACTCGACGATCCATCGAATTTTCGTGACGAGTCTTGTAGTGTTGCTCTCTTCCACTGGCAATTGAGATTCACCTTTCTGGATAAATGACGGCATTTCGGTTCTTTCACCAAGTTCATCCAATAATTCAACAGAGTCTCTAAAACCTCGATCAACGATAAGGACATCTTCTTTACAAATCCACTGTTTAAAGTCTTCAATATCGTTTCCAATTATGTGCTTCATAATTTGAGCATCACTATTTTTGCCATCACTGAAGTAGGGGCCAATAACACTAAGGATATATCCAGTCGTAGAAACAAAAACCATTGGTTTTACCAGTGGACGGTGTTTATGTAAACTGTAGCATTTGCGCTGGAATTTGAACTGTCAACTCTTCTGTATGTAGATGTAAGTTCCGTCAGCTACTAATATGGCTGGAAACTTGCCTTCTCCAAATAATGATTGCGCTATTGGTCTTGTATGCGATGATATAATATCTTCTCTGCTTATATGCCCAAAACCCAGATGTGATGGCACAAAATGTTGTGAAAGATATTTCCGCCCTGATGCAATGGCACGACGGATTGAGTCTCTGCCTAAATTGAATAATGTGCAGAGAATTTTATTTGGCATTCCTGTCTTTAGTTTAGTGAGAAATATGCCAATACATGTGCAGACACTGCGTGTACTCGAATCTCTCAGACTTCCTCCAACTTCTGAACAAAGTTCATCTAAGTTCTTTTTTGTTATCCCAGTCAAAGTTAAGATGTCTGAATCTGATAAAGACTTTACACTGTCAAAATCGATGCGTTTTTCACTTCCCCTTAAAGCAATTTCTCGAATCTCTGTTATAAGTTCCATTAGATCTGAGCGATTAAAATCAGATGTGGTTCGAGACTGGAAAATCTGTTCTGCTGCATGAGCGTGGAAAAGATTTTCGGATAGATGACCTGGGCAACATCTAGCTCCAATGGGCAATACAATAAGTTTTTCCAAAAACAGGTTATATCTAGCATTTTTAGGTACGACGACTAGCTTTGGGCCACGACGCTTGCAAACAGCACACTGAGAATGACTCCCTCCCACTGAAGGTATTGGGAGTGTGATGCTTGGAGGTGACTTTGGTATTTTCTTAGCTTTCTTGGTGGATGGTATGTACTCTGTGTCTCGATCTGTGTCCGGAATACGGTTCTGTTTAGCAAAGTCCTTTTGTGAATCCCCAGCAGCTGCATGGATTTCTCGGGAACAGCGGAGTCGACATTTATTACAGATGACACTCCCAGTAGCAAATATCTTGGAGGATTCTATTAGGAAACGTTGTTGGAGAAATTTCCGAAGTCCTTTATATTTGGATCCAGTTAGTGGTCGTCTATTTCGGACCTTTGGTCTAGACGAACATAGGACACATGAGTAGAACCTTGGTGAGGACATTCTGAAATAAAAAAAAATATTTATTTTTAAATAGTGTTCATATTAAATTGGGAAACATATTAAATGACTAAAAAAATCCTTTTCCCTAATACAGTATCAATTTAATTTAATTATTAATGCATTAAATTGCAACTTGTATTAGATAAATAAAGTAAATGTTATACTTCCTAAAATAGGGACATTTAAACAGAAAACTATGAAAAAGAAAAAATCTTTATGTAAAAAAAAAAATTAAAAAAAAAAAAATTGAATGGCCCCAAACGGATTCGAACTCAGACCTCTCTATCCCTTCTGAAGAAACGTCTGTGCTAATAATCGATGGTAACCATCAACGCTTACAATTCATGTACTTAAAACTTGAACCAGGGTTTCAGATTGAAATAAGTAACCATAGGACATATGGCATATTAACCAGAAAAGCTATAGGCCATTTTGTCCTACATTTCCTAAAACTATAGGCCAATAGAAAATTTAAACTTACTCAGATTTATCTGACTTTTACAAAACAATCATTTAATTACAAAAAATCTTCAAAAATGTTCATTAATTTTTTTTTTAATAAAAAGTGGAAAATAATATTTATTTTGTTTCTTTTAAACAAAATAAATTTATTCAAACAGAATGGAAATTGTTTTGTTTAATTCCATTCAATGGATGTTTTACTGATATTAGTCTTTTCCCTTTCATTGCAGCCATGAATTTATTTCTTATTATTACAATTTTTAAAAAATAATTATCCAGAAATTAGACCTGTATTTCTCATTATATGTATAATTACATTTAAAGATTGCCTAGATTAAAAATGTTTTCCTTTGTATAGTAAAACCTTACAATATTGTCCGCTTCCTGCTATTAGTCCGACCACGTGTACAATCATGGCGGTAAAAATAACAACATGACATGGATTCCTTCGATGTTTTAAACATTCATCACTACTTTTATGGTCATTGCTCTTGGATTTGGAAATAAAATATAAGTATTTTTTGTCAGAATCTAATACCCAAATGTAATTGGCTGATTGAATCTTCAGTTGCAGAAAGTATTTTAAAAACAATTGGATCTGAATGGGAGAAATACTATACGACTGGCCTTTACATAGAGAAAATAATCGGCCATTATGTCTGCTCAATGTAAAACTCATAGGCCATTTTGGCAGATTAATTTGATTTTTCCGGCCATTTTGAATTTTTATCGGCAAATGGCCGATGGCCGACGCCAATCTGAAACCCTGTTGAACAGTAAAAAAAACATTCCCTCGTATGTTTGTGTAGCATACGACACATCTATTTTGTCTGAAATTTAGTTTCATTCCATTCTGTCTTAAAATATCATATTTTCTCATGAAGTTTGATATCTAACGTTAATTTGTCTGAATCAGTGAATGCTTTGATAATGCAAGTTAGGCCTGTAGATATCGAATAGGCAACCTTTACCGGTTAATTTGGAATTAAAGTCTAGCCTAATAAAGAATTCTATCCAAGGAGATTTAAGATTTTAGATTGTAATCATATATTTATGATATATATAATTCATATTATTGTCTAAATATGCCATTTTTTCTAACACGGACATTTATGTTAGGCCTATATTGCATTAATTTTCTTTCCGATTTTACAGAATGTAAACAAAGCTTGTGACATCAGCCTACTGTTATAGGGCCTACTGAATTCTTAAAATATTTTTTTCAGAAAAAATAATGAAGACAAACCTGATCCCCTTCTGATTTCTGTTGTCCAGATATATTCTCAGGTCATGTTGAGGCAATTCTTGGATCTTTTGTGGTCAACATGTTACTAATGACGCACTTGCGATAATTTGTCTGTCATATGTACAGTACGTTTCTAAATTTCGGCCGATTTTTATTTTCCGGAATATATTCACAAAATTATTGTTTACGGTTATAGTTATTATACGCCGTTCATGCTGTGAATTTAACACGATTACCGGTACAATTAATATCCGATACGTTTTTTCCCATGCACATTCATGTACATGTATGTATCACTTGTGTGTGTCCCGTACTTTTATACGGAAGAAAGAGAGGTCGGAATATCCTAGATGCTGAATACTGACAAGAATTAAAAAAAAAAACAAACAATATTTACACTATTGAACTGATTTTTTCTTTTATCTTATCTATTTTTATTAGTCATTTATCTTATAAAAGTGATAAAAAGGCTTCAATCTTCTCTACTTTCATAATGTCTGAACGATTCTCATCCGGAATCTAAAATTTACATAGATTTGTTTCTTTAAAAAAATTACACCCCTCCACAAAAGATATTTTGCTATAAAACAATTGAAGTTTTGAAGAACAACATATGCAAAGAAGGATTTGGCACATGACTGTGGAGGTTAACAATTTCTAAAAAATGTTCAAGGAAAAATGACTTTTAAAGCCATTTTCAGCAAACGAGACGTTTCTATGACAATGAAGTGACGTCATAAAACGTGCAATTTCTATAATCTAGCATATTTTCTTGAAGTACTAACACAGATGAATTTTTTAAGACATAACAAAAGTTGTAGTGTAACTTTTAATTTTCTAGGAAACATTGAGGCTAATCTAGGCTCTTAATGCCCTTACTTCTTTGTTCAAGTCATGACGCCTAGGAGTAAGCCAGGGCCACGATGTAAGTTAAGATGTCAAGAGCAATAAAGCCACTTGTATTCAAAGCAATATGCAAATATCCTTAGTGTAGATTCAAGTATGTTCAATTCATATCCCCTCCCATCTAAGAATTTGTTGGGACCACTTTTTTAATTGAACTTTTCAATAAAAACTGATTTCTGCTAAATTCCAAGCTACAGTGCTCAGGTGAGCGGTGTGGCCCATGAGCCTCTTATTTTAACTTTATTGTCGCCAGGCGCAAAGTTTTTCACAAATAAATCTTGTTTTTTGTTTATGTTGTAATGTACTATAATCTATTATTGTTATAAACTATGACCCCACAGTCAGTTACACTTTGTTACAAAAGAGACAAGAGGATAATCAAAGAAAATGTAATAAGCATGAAATTTAATGTTTTGTAGTTGAATATCGAAATTATATCACAAGTGAAATAAGAATTTTTCTTTATTAATTTCGTGAATGTAGAAGTCCATATTCAACTAAAAAAAATCAAAATTTAATCCCCAAGGATAGTTCTGTTTTTAAAGTATACTTTTAAGGAGGAATGCCACGCCAACTTTTTATTTTATAGATCTCTAGTCAACCTGTTTAAGGAGGCTGGGGGGTCAACAAATTAATCACAAATTAACCACCAGATTTAACTTATCTTTTTAGATACGGTAACTTTAGCTTTTTACTTTCATTCTACAAAGAAAAAATTCATACATTTTACATTTAAAATCTGATCATTTTCTGTATCTTCACATGGAGCTCTCCTTTTAAAGGAGATAAAAATAGTCTGAAAATGGCTGCCACACCCCAGCCTCGTTAAACCATGGTTGCAGCATTAAAAGGTCGGCATTAGCTTTTAATTATTTTATATGATTTTTAAATTTTTTTTCAAAGAAAATGAAAAAAAAATATGTACGTCCAAATAAGATGCTTTCTTGCAAAAATTTAGCTGCAAATGATTGCATCATATGAATACCTAATAAAATAATAAAAGAAAAGCCGTATAGATATGAAAACGTTTAAAAGTAAAAAATATTTACGGAAATAAAACACATAATTTGTGAATATTTTTTAAATGTGTGGGTAAAAGTTTCTTAAAACCAGTCACAACTGGAGAGAACATGTTAGTTAATCATATTTAAAAAGAAATTGAAACGAAATGACCAAAATTTAGTGAAATTATTTTTTTCTTTATTATGGCCAATCCCGATCAAAATTAAACTGATCCCAACCATAATTGTAAAAATATTGAAAAAAATTACATTTCCCCAAGAAAACTAGTCTGATTAGGTGTAATAAGGGTTTAAAACATAAGTGAACCTGACATAATATAATAGATTTTTCATTGTAAATACAAGAATAGGCAAAAAATTTGCATTTTATTAATTTTGTGTTAATTTTGAACTGGATCTGTTAAATTTTGCTCTGGTTACGTCCAAATATGAAAACATATTAATTTTTCTAAAATTTCTCAATTTGGTTTCATATGATTAAAAAAAATGTTGTCCTCAGTTGTGACTTGTTTTGTTGTGTTTTTCATCATTGGTAAAAAAATATATATTCACAAATAATGTGTTTTATTTTCATAAATCATTTTTTATAAAAAAAAAAATTTAGAGTCTAACCAGACTATCCTTACATATTTTATTAGATATTCATATGATGCATTCATTTACAGCAAACTCCATGGATCTTAGGTAGAAATCAAGTCTTTAGAATCTACATTTATCTGTCAATTTTTAAGGTTCCAAAGGCAGGAAAATTAATGCTACATGAGGGTTCCGACGACTTTTCATCGGATACAACATCGCCAAAACGTGCTCTGCTTCTTGGAGGAGGTTAATGGCGATGAGCGAGATCTAATCAATCTCCAGATTAGGCAACATCAAGAAGGACTACGGAATGTGTCAGTCCAGACAGAGAAGGTTGTTGTCCTTGGATCAGAAGATGTGTTACCACCTCTGCTGGCAGAGACTTTCAGTGCGATGACCAAGACCTTGGGGCTAATTCAGAAGGAACAATAAGCAACAAAGGTACTTATTCAGGACTTAATGGGAAAATAAAGACACTAAAGGAAAATCAGCTGTCCAGAACATCACTGGGAGGTCTTTTGTCCACTAGTTGACCGTCATCACATCAATGGACACGTTGGTGGAGACAGTTCAAGAACTAGAAGAATCACTCTCAACCAAACCACCACAACGGACTGGTGAGCCAGAGACTGATGATAACCATCCTAGAGAGGAGCCACTTCCACAACTTGTGAAGAGACCACGGCAAACATCCAAGACTGCAAGTGCAGCACAGATACACCACTCCCTACTTCAAGTGCAATATAACAGATCAATATCACAAGTCCAGTTGATACATCATCCAG